GCTGAATCAGAACATAAAATGGTGTTAAATTTTCACTTTAGAAATATCTGCAGAAGTGTTCATAAGATACTGGTACTTTCATGACATTCATACCTTTGAAATTCTTTGAAATAAAATAAGTTTCATTAATCTAAATAGCATCGTGATCCGTAAGAAGTTTGAATGACACCACTGCCAGTGAGTGTGTTTCTATAAACATGAAAAGAAAGACAGGTGTTAAAATTAAAAAGAATTTTTGAAATTTGTAAAAAATATGACAGAGATCAAGTTAATCATTAGTTTTAAATTACGGTAACCACATGTTTTCCTGGAAGTTTTTATATATAAATCTTTTTACAAATGAACCACAATCGCCTACATATACATTATATAAGTTACGTTATCAATAGAAATTAGAAATAAGATTTCAGTTTCTTTTTTTATCATCCAGTAATAACACGAATTAAAATGTGTTTAAAATAAAAGTACAATAAATGATACAGTAGATTTGCAAAGGAACTTTTATGTGAGTTTACTTCTGTTTAAAATTGTATAGCTGTTATGCAGTCTAGGACAAAAACATTCCCCTCTGAAAACTAGCAGAATAAAATAAATCTTACCAAATTGACATGGTTGACCAAAGCCCTCCTCCCCCATAACATTTGCAGAAGGACAAAAGCTTACATGATTTCATATTATTTTATGTTCTACACAGGCTTTATTGTTAATTGTTTAAATAACATATCTGAAAACATCTTTTGTATGATTGTATTTGTATTTTTTATATCTTAATCTACATGAAGATCTATTGTTAGTAAATTCTCTGAAAACATTTTGTACTGTATTATGAACAATTCATTATAAAAATGTCTTACACTATACCTATATTATGTAATAATTTCTACATGCTTTATGTAGTTTAATGCCAAATAAAGTGTTAAATAGAATTTTATTAGACTGAATTCAATTCCAATCGAAAAAGAATAATTTTTTGATGTCTATTTAATGTTGATAGCAATGAATATAATTATTTTTGCAACAAATATTTATAAGTTTAAACTTTGTAATAAATTAGTAAGTAATACATGTAATATATAAGTGGATGGGATTTGCCTCCCTGTAATTGGAAATGTGACTTTTGTCTGCCTTGTGGAAATGATAAAATTGTTTTTCCCTCTCTATAAACTTTGCCCACGTGGTCATTTTTGATGGGAGGGTTTCTATTCGGAACGTCATCCATCCTTTAGTTATAATTGAGCCGCGTCACGACAAAACCAACATAATGTATTTGCGACCAGCATGGATCTAGACCAGCCTGCGCATCCGCGCAGTCTGATCAGGATCCTTGCTGTTCTCTACTTGTAATAGGGTTGGTAAGCGAACAGCATGGATCCTGATCAGACTATATGTATGAAAAATTTGAAGGTAAATAAACACAAAATAAAGAAAGGGGGCACAATAAGGTAAATATTCATTAAACTCTTGTTGTACATGGTTTCATGAAGAAGTACGTTTTATTTTTTCAATTGTAGAAATAATTTACAATAAAATAAAAATTAACTCATTTTATTGTTATAATAATTTACAATAAAATGGATATGTTTCAGTGGTAATAATAATATATCACCATTATTATTATCGTTATTTAAAGATAAGATCACTATTTTCAATATTAGGACGGGTATAATGTTTTACTCCAATCACATATAATTGTTATAAATAAATCCGTGCCCCTTTTGATATTTGACAAGTTACTGGGTTGGAAAATTTCAAGCCTGATAAACTTTTAACCCCATATTAGACACCGACGAAGCCTGTCCTGTGCAATACCTAGAAATATTGTTAAAGAAGCTGTAGAAAATCGGACTGACTATAACTATAAATAGATTTGAGTATACACATTACTTTGCAAATGAGACTGACCATTAAAACAGTAACAGAAATGCATTTTGACAACTCTAATTGAAAGTCATGTCATTAAGGTCAGCTGACAAAGGATGGCTGTCAATTAAGTCAGGTCGTACTAATTGAAAAGTGTCATAATTACGTAAGATTTTCTCACCTTTATCATGACTTAACTGTTCAAAGTGATATTCTGTGCACGCTGTAACCTGTCAAGTTGTCTTTTACTTTGTAAGTCATATTCACACATGTAACCCCATCTTGCTGCACGTTTATTGCATTTAATTTTGTCTTGGTAACCTTGTTTAAGATTTGCGCTGCTGTCTCTCTGCTTTAAAATATATAGTGTTTTTTTTCCATATAAAATCTTTGTTTAAATTTCATGATTTGCTTACTTCTTCAAATAAAAACGATATTGTTTAATTGTGCATATATATGAAAGAGGCATTTGTTATTCGAAATTCATTTATAAATAATATGACCTGATACGGAAGTACTTATAACCTTACTGTCTTTGATACACATATATGTATTATATGTAAATATATGTTAAAGAGCATATGAGTAAATTTTTTTATAATATATTCTAGATATGTAACATGTTTATCATTGATGTTTATGTATTAAGATGATATACTTATGTATAAGTCTAACAAAATGTATGTTTTGTTCTAAAAATTTCCATCTAAATGTAAATGAAGCTTTTCTTATTTATCAGACGAGTTATTTCATATTATCTGAATTTGTAGGTCCGTCATTTCAAAAGCAGTTTAATTATAATCAAGACTCGTTTTCAATATATAACATATTGAAGTTTTACAGCTTCACATAGGGTCATTTCAACATTTAACTATATCATTATGCTATATAAATCTAGCTCCCTTTTCATTCATGATTACCTTTTTTTGTGCGCCTGTGTACAACTATTTCAATGACAAATGATACATGTTGTAAACAATATTACTTCTAACTTGCTTCTTTTGCTTATCGTTTATTTTATCTAAATAGTTTATTTCCATGACGATGAACAATACAGAAAATATATCTTTGTTTTCATTTCTCTTGTGCTACGATTCTGATTTATTCAAGTTATAAAACAGTTATGAGAATTGTATGTTTTAAAATGCCTTTCAAGTACAAAGTCCTCCTTATGTAAGTAAGTTGTAAATAAGGTTGACTTTGTTGTTGTGATGAATTTCAATGGACGTGCTTACAAGTGAAAATTTATATCAATAGTGGTATAAAATAGTGAGCAAATTAATACAAACATAATGGTTTATTGTTTTTTATTAGGTTAAGAAGAATGACTGAAAACATTGTTGTCACAGCATTTTATTATGTTGCCTGTATAAGCGACACAATTCCTTTTGTTAGCAGGTCGACATCTGTCAACACTATCAGTTCTACAACGATATCTTATTTCTGTATATAAAACAACAGAAAAAAATACAGAGAATAAAGTTCACCCCATAATTCCCATAAGAAAACGTGTATGCAATATATATATATATTATTCACCTTACTTACTATAGTTACAGATCCAGTTGTATTTACATAAGATAAAAAAGTTCTTGTTACTCTGTTTCAAATAAAGTTTAATTTGTCTATGACACTGAATGAATTCAACTATATTTATAGTGATACTAATCAAGTGAAATAGATCAACATTTTATCATATTTAAACATGGGTTTGTTATCATAATTGTTTACTCTTTTATTTTTCCCGTTGTGTAGGACATATGTCCGGACATTTATTTGTATTTGTATAAATATAATGATTAACTTTAAATGACTGACATGCTATTTGGTGTGGTTGTAAAATGAATAAATGGAAATTATTGATGAACAAGTATGTTAATTCTAACAGTGGTTTAAAAACAAACAAACGCAAGAAAAGCGTTTAAGAACGTATCACTTTTCACGACCAATTACTTAAGATTTTGAACATTCTTTGTTAGTGACATTTACCAATCAAATACATTTGTTACAGTTGTTCAATAGGTGAATGATATGTCACTTTAATAACCTTTTTTATCCATATCAAAATTCCAATCGGTCTACGCCGAACATAATGTGCCTGAGTCACAAGTCGTTTTGATTTAATACGGTGTATCTCAACCATATTACCTTTATGTTCCTATTTATTTCCATTTTATGTAACACCAACTGTGTTACTGAAGTTAAAATGATGCACAGATGCTAAAGTTTAAGTGACATTTAATATTTTACACCACAAATGTTTTTCATGTCAGTAAATTTCAAGCAGTAATACAAACATATAAACATATTTTTGTATAAAATCCTTTATACTACACTGGTGATGTAAACGGACATAAATCTATTTATTTATTCAGTATAACACATAAGAAACGATGGTAAAACATTGAATATAGCTACCGTTCGCCGTACAATATATTTTTCAAATATTACATGTATTGGTAGGAATTTGGAAAATAAACTCTTTTTTCCTGCAAATTATTCAGTGCCTTTTATTTTAATTACAAAATGATATCACGAAAGTGTGATTACAACTATTAATTTGATTCTTAATTCCATGACAAATTGGGAGGCGAGATCTACGTTATATAGTATTATGTAAATGAAATGATAATTGTGTTTAAATAACAATTCCATCTGATAGTACCAAATGTGATACAGAAAAAAAACGTGTGCCATTTCTTTTTACGTTATATTTTAGATGATTTCAATGGATGGATTCGTATTTCCTTAACCATGAAAATAACTTTAGAAATATTGTCTTCAATGCATTCAACAACGTCTAAATTTTCTATATATTTATATGAAGAAATGTCCTTGACTGTACTTTAGAGTACAACTCTTCAACGCTGTGATTGTTTTTAACTAGGTTTAATAAATTCCTAAGTTAAGAGATAAAGCAGTTTTTTTGTTTTCCATTTTTTTTTGTAGTTTGTTTCCAATTTGCGGGAATTCCACCTCTGCAATAAGCGAACGATATATTGACTTCATCAGCTGTATATGGTAAAACTTTCATATTTTTATTTCTATGTCAATTTTACCAGTTTTTATAATTTGCATTGTAAGACTGTTGCATACGTTCTGGGGCCAGGGGAAAACTCAAAAAGAGAGAAAAACAAGCGTTCAATATTATGTAAAGTTTTATTTTTCACAAAACAAACCGAACGTTTCTTCGGCGTGACATGAGAGCACCACTGTTTCAAAATTAACATACAACGGTAACTTAATCATTATCATGACGATGATGATGGCATAGATGATATTAATGATAAGGACGACGATGATGATAATGATGGTGAACACAATGATGATGGAAACATATGATAATGAAGATGATCAGAAAGACATTGTTATTATAGCATGAAACGATAAATTATTACTTTTGATAATAAAATGAAGAAATAATAAAAAAAATATTTTAACTGATAATTTGCGGCTCGAATTCAGACAATTTTACAAAATATATGTACAGCTAAGCAAAAAAAAGGTAAGATAATAAAAAATGACAATTAGCCAAATGTATTTGAAATTCTACAGAATGTGGTTTCCGCTGCTTATTAACTCCCACATTCTGATTGCCTGAATATAGCATATAACGATGAAAATGAACATATTTCAATTCAATATATGACAGAATCATTTTTTTGTGCTATTTTGAAATTTATGCTTTAATATTTATTAGCTATGAAGTATTATTTTTTTCTTGAAAGAACTGTTGGTTTAGAATAAAGTTTTGAACGTATGTTCAGGTATGCAAAAAAGTAACATTGAATGATATGTGAGAACATTGAGATTGTGCGTCCAAATGAGATTCAATAAATAAGATGAGTATGTACAAATGTAATCAGAATGTCTTTGTTCTCGTGATGTCAAAATCTAATCTAAAATAACAATGACAGTCTTGCTTCTTATAAGTGAAAAAAATATATAAAATTATCTGTTTTATATCGAAATTTACATCTTTTTAATTCTTGCTCTAGATTATACTTTGTTCAAAATATATGGTAAAACTTGTTCTAACATAAATTGTTCGGTTATGAAATGTCAAAGTAATTGATGAAAATAAATAATAAATAAATAATGAATAATTTAAAAGAATTTGTAAAAAATAAAAACACAGTTTTTGTAAATGCAAATTATTCATAAATATTACGCACTGACAATTTTTTTGAACAATCTGTGTGAAGTAAAAATGTGTTTGCAAAATTAAAAAATAAAAAAACAATTTTGCTGAAATATAAACTTGTTTCACAATATGTATATATAGCACTCGAAAGGTTATGTATTGCTAAGATATGTTTCATTTTGCTCCTGTAAAGAGCCAAATTAAACAAATATGTAACCCGATTAATCATTTAAAGGAGTACTTGATATTTGCACATAACCCGTAACACTTAACACGCAATCGTCTCATTATTTTAACATACATGTGTGCTTTGTAAGTTAGGTAATAAACATTTAGCAAATCATTCATACAAAAATAAATAAATCATTTACTCATAACAATTACACTGATAAATATAACTTCTCACAACCTTTCGGTAAATACAATTAACATCCTCAAAATGTGATAACAATAAATAAATAAATTATTAAATAAATATACAACATATTGAATGTACAAAAATAGAATTTAACAGTAGCGATTTAACACATGTTCACAGTTTATTTTAAATATTTTCTCGTCAGGAAAGATCAGCAAAAAAGGGGGATTTTCTTGGACCCGGAACGTTTGTTTTTCTTCGTACCTTTTTTTATCGAACAAGTTCCAATTTTTTGACATTTTCAATTCTTTTATAAGAAATAGTAACATCGTTCGTTGGTGGCAAAATTTCATGTCCATGGTAGTGAACGTCTGGTACACATGATTGTTCATCGGCTACAACAAAGTCAAACTGGTGCACTAAGTTGAAGATGTACCATTTAGCTTGTGCAATTGCAAGTTTTTTACCAGGGCACAATGATCCGAATGCTAATAGTGGATTTTTCAACTCCCGGCCGTTTTTGTAAAATTTTGCATCAACAAATCTATCGTATTTGTATTCCTGAAAAAATAATAAAAAAGTACAATTAAGACATTTTCTTAAAGCACAGTGAAGAAATTTAATAAATAACGAGCGGACGCTCTATAGATATTAGAAAAAGGAAAGTTCTAATAATTAGAAAAATAAGACCACAAAATGTATTTACCGTTCAATTAATGGTCAGAATGAAAATTTTGTATATGACAATACCATATATGAAAACTATAAAAACTTACCAATGGGTTTTCGAATATTTCTGGATCCTTGTGTATTGCAGGTGGGTACATGGCGACTCTATCCCCGGCTCTTAGGTTAAACTTTTCCCCATTTTCCATTTCAAATGATGTATCTTTCGTAATGGCCCTGACCATGAACACACCGCTTGTATACCGGATCGTTTCATTGACTATGCTATCTGTAAATCGAATAGATAAAAACTTAGTTTCTTGCAAGAAATAATATAAAATACATTTGATATTCTTAATTACATACAAAATTATTAAAATAATTACATGAAACTTAGATTTTAAAGGTAATTAAATCGCTTTATTAAATGAATGAATGAATATGCAAGAGACATATACTTACTTAAAACGGGTAACTTTTCTACATCTTCCAAGTCCATCTCAACAGCTTCATCGCTATCACTGAATTCGGCTTTATGCGCAACAAGGTCGTTGATTTCTTCTCGGAGCGCTTCCCGGGCTTCTGGAAACTTGCTGAGGTAGTATATAAGCCAATATGTTACACGGAATGTGTTGTAATTAACATGGAGAAACACTAAATTATGTCCAATGATGTCGGTTTCAGTTTGACCATTAGCTTTCATGAACTCTGTTGAGAATTTGATATAGTCTGAAACATCATCGCGCATCATAATTTCTTGTGAATTTGGCTGCTGAATGAGTACCTCTAATGCACGACAGGCATTTGGAAAAAGTTTGATTGGAAGTCCAAGCCACAAGAAATTGAAATACTTGTGAAAAGAATCGAAGCTTTTGTAAACAGTGTTTGGCTCGAAAACATCTCCATTTTTACCTTTGCCGAATATTGTTCTGAAGATAGCTCGGAACATCGTGTTAGATGCCATTGAGCGAAGTCCAGCTTCATTCCATCCGTTTTCATTTTGTGTTGCAACATTAACACTGTCATCAAAAGCACAATCTAGGTGCTTTGAAAAAGATACCATGTTTGCCACAAGATATTGTCCTTTTACTTTTTTGCCGGCCTCCTTTATCATTTTCCTTGCGTCAAAGAGACGAAAACTGAATACATTGTTGTTAACTTGTTCTTGAATTGGATCAAAGTCAAAGTTCTTCTCTTTGCAAACACGTTCATACGTATGTGGGTCTGCTATTATAGTAAGATGTTGATTCAAAAGGCGAATTGTGAAAATGTCTCCAAATTTAGCTTGTGCTTTATGTATAAAACTAACGGCATTTTCTGCAAAATCCTTCCCGTTACCCCATATAAAGTTTCCAGGAACGATCATCGGCTCCCCCTTCCGCCTGTAAAGAAAGATTCAGAAATATAAGCACTGGTTACGTTGAAGCAACGAAAGACGAAAGCGCGACAATTTAATACAGAAATATAGTTAAACCACCTGGCTTACTATATTTATTTCCCTTCTTTCATTGACACAGATTGTGGGCTATTTGACAGTTATCTGTCTCGTACAACTAACGGTAAGTTTCTAATTACTTGTCTATTATATTTGATATATAGGTATGTGTATTGCCGTTAACAATTGACCTTATAAAGGGTTAGTGTAACTAAAAAATAGAGCCGAGTCATGCAAATGGGTGTGAAAATGTAAACATTATAACAATCCCTTATGTAACATGTTCAAATGAAAAATTGCGTGATACTAACCTTTGACGGAAGAAATATTTGATGTATGCGCCCAGTAGCACTGCTACGAGAACGGCTAAATAAATAGTTACTGCGACCATTTTTTCGTATTTGTTATCTTTTCAAATCTGAAATGGAAAAAAGAAAAGAACATAAGATACACCATACGTGTGAATGCTTAATTGTTAGAAAGCTAATTGTTTTGTTAACACATGTTCTTTGACAAGTAAGGGGGAAAAGGCTTCTGTCAAACAATTTTGTAAATTGTATCGCCTGTTTATCATTAAAGAGTGTTTTTTTTTCTTTTGAAAAAAAAGAAAAGTTAGTTTACAACAATTATTTCTTTATATTGTTTTCTTTAACACCGGATAAAGATCAGCGATAAAATATTTTGGCCAAATACAATGACACTAAGACAAACTTTCACTATGAGTTGCGGATTTTAGGCCTATTTTCTTAAACGTTTCCTTTCATGTGAAGTGTTTAGAAATTCTTAAAGTAAGATATTATCATCCTTTTTGGTAATTATTATTGAACATAGCGATAGTTAGACGATTTAATCTTGATCAAGCCGGAAGATAATGATTGGTTGAAAGGGGTAAAAACTTATACGGCGCTCAATTTAAATATAGATTATGCAAATTATGTAAACGCTCACGTATATTACTTTGTATTAGGAACTAACGGTGATTGGATTTTTTGTATTTAAATTTAGTAGTATGACTAATGAACAATACATGCATACTCGATACATATCCTCATTAAACGATTAATCCTTGATACGATTATGAATAGCTTTATGTACTTTCATTGTTTGAAGCCGCAAGACATTTGATATACAATCAAATAACTAATGCTAATTCGTACTGTTTAAGATAAAAATATCACGTCTTAGTAACCAAATAAAAGGCAAATGATGTAATACTGTTTCACAAGCGCAATAGGTGTGTAACTTTTTCTCCGAAATGTTCGTGACTAGTTTTAAGTTAAATGATTATCAGTATAAACTATCAACCAATTAACCAATATAACACATTAAAACAATACTAAAATAAGAGTAACAAAGTATTCGCGAACGCAAGAAAGCCGAATTTATTTTAAAATTACAGAATGAAATATTTAAATCTTAAATTTTTTTTAAAGTTAAAATAGTTAATATTGTATACTTACAGTGAAGACGTTCGTTATTTTTTGCTGATTGGTAAATATTCCTTCTTGTATATTTTTATCCAAATGATAGAGTTAACAGTGATTATTTAATTCTGTTAGGTTAGTAACCACGTGCGATACTTGTCAGTCAGCTGTTATGCTGTTTAGTTTTCATAAACGTATACTACCAATCTACCGTACAACCCGTATATTTATACTTGCGAATATAAAAGAGGCGGAGCTTTCGGCTTTGTGATAGCCTTGAAATCTTGACGATAGGCATTCGATAGGAGTGACGTATGCGGAGGAAAAATGAGCTACGATAGTTCAGTGTTAACAAACATTCGCTACTGTATCATTACTCTTATGTGTCGATAGTTTAACGTGATACCACTTGGGAAACACTTAAACATTTTTTACCGGAGAAAGCGGTTTAATTGTTTTATAGTTGTAAGGCAATTATAAACTGCGTATGAATATTTTGATTACACTATTTAGTAAACAGTGATCTTAGATTAAAAAGTTTTGTTTATTCTGGAATTTCATTCATATCAAATTAAAAAAAAAACATCAACAAAATCCTTATTAGGACTTTTCGTAGATAGTGTTGTTGATTCAATGTTTCGAATAAGTGATTCATAAAAACTGTTTTATAAAATCTCGCTCAGAGCTGATTTTTACGTTGTAAAGTACTTGATTAAGATAGAAAAAAATCATTTTATTGTTGTTTTTTTTTTAAATCGATGGTTAAAAAATGATTAAAATAAATACTGTAATAATTACTAAATTAGTCTTTATACTTTATAAATATATACTTTATTAACTAGCTAAAAAATGCGTGCACTGCTTAAGTTTATGGCACTTTGGTTTTGGTCAAAGACCTAGATGTAGAGAAACGGGTTTATGCGAAAAATAGAGACAGTGAAACTCCAAGCATTCACTACTCATCGGGAAAAAGATTGAAACGCAAAATTCAATCAGAGAAATTCAAAATGTTTTCAATATCATCCATCCCTTCCAACACACAATATTAATCATATGTAATTATCTATAACATTATGTATTGCATTATTCAGTGAAGTATTATCATATTTGCTGCATTATTGCTTTGGCCATAGTAACATAGAGGAACAGACATTGATATAAGTTCAATATAGTTTCGCAGATGTAACCGATTCTAATTTTGCATGTACAAGGGACACAACTCTCACTCGATATATTTCTTATTTAACAAATCATCTATTTGTGCGTGTTCCAGTTTGATATTGTTTTTCAAACAGCAGCATATCAATACTCTTTGAATACGTAATTCAACGACTTCTTACGGTCCCAGCCGATCTTTTACCGCCCACGCAAGTTTTGATGTAGGATTGTATAGTATTACACGCCTCTTGCTTCCCTCATTTTTAATTACAGACACATGTTGCTGAGAATGAAAGTGTTATTTTCAAAAGACAGTTATTAATAAACATATTTTTCTGCGGAGAATATCAAATATGTCCACATGTCTTTCACTTCACCAGTATTTCCGTTTAAACCACGCATTTGCAATAGCAAACATATAAATCGTGTTGGTATTTTTATTGATATATTAAAAGACCAGTTGAAATTAAATGAAAGATTTATGCCACATGTTCAGGTGAGGTCATACCATGGAATTGCCACAGAATTTGTTGGTGTGGTATCTCTTGTCAATTCTTCTTTAGCACATGCTAAACTTAAAAGACATTTGCGAATGTCAATTATGATACATATTATGAATGAGACCACTTTTTTCAAATATGAATTCGTCTTGTTTATCCTTGAGACGTCCTTACCGTTTCGTCTAAGACATTCGATCGGAAAACAATATCATTTTAGTTTTTGTTTAATTTATAACTGTGAGTGTTTTGTGTAAGAAATTGTGAATTCATGCTAAGAATAATTCCCGTTCCCAAGCTCTGAACGCTTTATAGCTATACTGAATCAGTACTGTAATAAAATTCAGACAAATGGTCATGCTTACCTAATGAACGTTTACGTTTCAACTTCATATTTAGCATATATATGAAATAAAATAACATGGGACTGAAATATGACAATTGCATAAATTAGCCGTCCTTGGTAGATTTAAATGCTCTTCCCTGGTATATCTTTGTGACTAGGTCTTTTTGTATAGAAAAGATAATATATATAGATAATATAATATTGTATATTTGTTAATCCTACAATTGTGAATAAAGTATTCAGAGCTAAAAACACGTGCACGCGCACTAAAACGTGCATGTCAGAAAGAAAATGCTTGTAATATAATTAAAACGTCGATTATCGTTGAAACTGTCGGTCTTTTTGTCCTGTTTTAAAGGGAAAAAAACACAGTACGGTCAAGCTCAGAATGATAACGCTTCAAAAGTAAGGGACTTGTATTTCAGAATTTTTCGAATCTTCGAATTTTCGAGCGAATTTCATACAGTTTTCACTGAATCTAGCCTTAAATCATTAAGAGTTGTCTTTTTTTCTAAATATGAATATTCACAGATATTACCCGTGGCTTTAATAATTTGGCTTAAAATGAAATTTGCACAAACATTGTCATGAAAACCTACGCGAATGTATATATATATATATATATTTCTTGCGTCAAGAAAGGCTTTTGCAGAGCTTACCGTAATGAAAGGAATTACATTTTGCCCGTTTTCGTTATATAATTAACAAATTATATCTGTACAAATCCTTAGTGTTATGATTAACGCAGTGTTACATATACGTAATGTACTGTTCTTTTGTCAATTTCGACAGATGCGATATGAACAGGACCGGTGCAAAAATGCAAGGTTACCCAACCACATGCGTCATCCGAAATAATAGTTATTGTAAAATTTCTCACTTTTTATATAATTTGTAATGCATTTCTATGACATTTATCACCAAGTTTAAATGACCATAATATTGTAATATGTAACCGCGACCACGCTAACATGTTTACTTCTCACATATTAAGTATTTATTATATTAAGTCATCTTATAGACTGTTTACTTTTTTGCATGAATAAGCAGTAAAATTTCACCCGTTACCCACCCCCTCCCCTCCCCCACTCCACCAAAAATACAAACATGATAAAAAAAAGATGAGCGCAATAAGTAGTAAAACGAGTAAACTTGATTGTATAAAGATTAACGGATGTCATTATTTGCATGAAATATTACGCTCCGCTTACGGCTAAACTTAACTATTTATAAAACATTTTTAACGAAACAAGTGGTTTAATTTTTTAAAGACAAGCTTAATTGTAAAGTTATGATATTTAACTTTAAGTTCACTTAAACCCGCGCACTACCCCCCCCCCCCCCCCCCCCCCCCCCCCCCCGAAAAATATACATAGTCATTGTAGGAAGTGTAATGTATTTGGTATTTCATTTAGTATTTTAAATATAATATTGCACCCAGATATAACACTAAACCTTCACTGTAGGTATTGATCGAACGCGTTCATCGTATCAGTCAGTATTTTAGTAATTGACAACGCATTGCTTCACAAAGTTTGATCTAATTTGTTCTCGCGCCTGTAAGTTAAAATAATACCCCACACACAAAATAATAACAATATATGATTCACAAGGCCTCGTCCAAGCGCTCTTAGACAATAAACCTCACCCAAGATCAAAGAGTCCGTTAACTTCTGCCAATAACAATAGAAAAAAGGGAAAGACTTTTAATACTCTGATTTTTATTGAAACTAATTTGTAAACATATGACACCCGGGGACGCTGCAACAGAATGCGCAGTGTTTATTTCCGTTTCTTATGTTTATACAAATAACATGTGTTTCTAATTGTAAAGATGAATGGAAACGTGTTTTTGAAGATATAAATAGATGCATTTTATTATTGCTTATGGGTGTAGAATTTAGGAGTGTAAAATAGAATTTCTATTTCTGATAAGAAAAAAACTTATTATGAGATCTAATCATATGTTTGATATACCCATTAAATGCATGCTTTTAATTGTAGGATAATCTGCCTAAAAACCTATTATTATATTTTATTGGATTCAAACGTATATTCCAATAGATTTTATAATTGATATACATACCAAAAGCCGCGAAATTAAAGAGAGAGAAAAAAACCGTCTGCAGATTCTTAAAAAAATAAATGTTTTATGCATTCTTTGAACACATTTATATCGAGATATAAAATGTGTGTTTTTTCTTTGTTGCAAATTGATGTGGGCGTTTGGTTGTGTAATACAGACTGGACATTGTTTTTATAAGCCAATGTTCTCTTTTTTTTTGCTAGTTATATATAGCAAGTATAAAATTTCCTTTCGTTGCATTATATCCTGTCCTTTTAATATACGATATTCTAAATTATAATTCAGTTTTAATGCATTGTTAATTACAGAAAATTTAATGAGTCAAACGATTGTAGCCTCTTTCGAAAAAAAAGAAGAACAGAATGTAAGGGCTAGGTCCTAAACAGTGTTCATCATTAACACGCCAACACAGACAGGCGTGTTTCATTCATACCATTGCTCATTAGCCCGCGAAAAATGCCTTCTGGGAAATAATGACGTATGCATTTCAATGGTCAGTACAATCCTGTATTAAATTCAAATAATTAATTAAACCTTATTTAGATAAGAAGTTTTCATTAAAAATCTGAAAATATCGTAATTGATCTCTCATACATTGAGATGGTTACTATAAAAAAATCATTTTAAAGAAAATACAAGGAAATGACTTTGAAAATAAAAACGATTTCATAAAGATAGAAGAAAATATCGAAGGTCATATTGTCATGAAACACACCTGATTCCATATCATTTTAACAAGCCACTTTCTCCGGTAAAGGTACAATATACAATACATTGTAATATGTATTCACATTTTAAAAGGTGTGGATACTTCTATCCATCGAATGTAATCATTATTCTTTCTTTTTTTGCCGTTTTTGCCTGTTATTTATCCAAACAATAGTCTAAATGAAATACAAATGTATGTCAATATGACTTAATTTATCATAAAAAATACAACAACGACGACGACGACAACAACAACAACAACAACAATAACTTTAATTAGAAGCAAAGACACCAGTAGTACATGTAATAGTATGACTGATTGACATAAAATAAAGAGTGAGTTACATGATACTTAATTAATACAAAAACATACTTTAAACGTTATTTTTTTCCCAATACATTGGGACAATAATGATA